CATTCACGTCTGTCTGCCTCCCATCATATGTTCGTGCGTTGATGCGTGGTGTGAATGTGTACAAGAATTTGTGTTTGGTGTGGTTTGGTTTTTCTGGGTGTGTGTTTATGTTATTTGGTTTGAACAGATATCTGAAGTGACTCCCCTGCTCAAGACCTTTCCGACGAACCAAGTATCGCTTCAATCGGAGCACGAACAAGAAAGTTACGAACATTTGAAGTTCATATGCTTCTGATATTTGGTTGGGGTGACTATGGGAAGTTGTGGGGTTGACTCCATAAGATGAATAGACTTTTGGGGGTTGGGAAATTCGTCAGCATCACTGTAGTTGATGCCAAGTGGTTGGGAGAAACCAAACCAGGTTGGCAAGTGTGGCCAAGTTGGGTAAGGTGGATGGTATGGGTTGGGAAAGTGACAAAAGTAAACGTGGGAGGGAATATGATGTGCTTATGGGGTTTTCCAAGGTTGGGGACTCCTTGGGGACCTTCCCTCTCGTCCTCCTCTTCCCTCCTACCTGGTTTAGTGCCACTTCAACTTTCTTGTGTAAACTTGTCAGATAATTGTGATTGAATTAAGATTCTATGACAGCATACCCCCCCCCTGTGCGCCGAAATTAATAAGTCGAGATGTACTTCACGTCTTGACACAATTCAACTTGGGAATTGTAGCTACGCTCTAAAGCTACAGTATACCCCAAATTGGTGAATATTTTACATTGCGTTCTTCGTCGACGACATTTCTTGTGAGCGCGACTTTTCTGTCTAGAATTCTAAGCCAACGATTTTGAGAAATTTAGGCACCTAATCTTCGTAGACTCCGTCCTTAGTTTCTAACACATCACTCTCTACTTCATAGTCACCTGCCTCCCTGACTCTCTTAGCACTGTCGAGGACCTCCTTCTCGCCCTTGACCCCACAGATCTCACTGTCGACCTGCTCGAGAAGAACCTCCTTGCAGGTGAGACTAGCATAGTCGCTGTAGGCGACTACTCGCACTCCCTTCCTTGAGGGGTGCTCGCCCTCCCCCTCTCTCCCCTCCGTCGCCTCTGCTGCAGCTGTTCACTACCTTCGTGTTGAGGAGGTGGGAGCTGTGTCTTCCCCCAGTGGGAGGCGCCGCAGCGGCAGGGGCAGGGGAGGCGGTGGAGGGGGCGGTGGAGGCGGTGCAGGGGGCAGCGGTGGCGGAGAGAGTGGAGGTGGGGGTGGAGGTGCGGGTGGCGGCGGTGGTGGCGGCAGTGGGGGTGGTGGAGGCGGCAGTGGTGGAGGTAGTGGGAGTGGAGGCGGCAGCAGTGGTGGAAGCCGGGGTGGTACCCGCAAGTGGGGAGGCCTTGGCAGTGGTCAGAGACAGCAGCAGCAGCGTCAGCGTGGACCTCTTCGCCTCGAGAGCTACCTGAGTGGTTTGCTCAGCATGTGGCGGCTGGGGGTGGTGGTCCTTGCCCGTATGTCATTCACACAGGTGATCGCTCAGGTCGGACATGCGGGAAGCTTCTCACCCAGTACCGCTGCTTCTCTCGTCTTTCCGACACCTTCCGTACAGAGTTTCCCGGCGCGGCTGGGCAGAGCTGCTAAGGCAGATGGAAAATATCTATGCTCTTGATTATGATGCTATCCTTGCAGCCATGTATGCAGTGACTGTTAGAGCTGAGGGTGACTGTTACCTGTGTATGCCGCAAGACCTAGGTATAGAGGCTGCTGCTGTAGGTGCTAGTGAGTCTACTGCTCTAGGTGCTGGTGGATTCGCTCTCTCAGGTACTACGTCTGCTGCGGCCTTGCACACCTTCACGCTTGACTAGGGTGCTTCACGCTGTTTCTTTCACGACAGTACCACAGTCACACCACTCTCAGCACATGTAGCTGTCTCTCTGGCTGACCCCTCTAGGGCCCCAGTCCTTGCACGTTCCTCCATTGTTCTGCCGTGTCCGGCGGTTCCGTCTGGCTCACTGTCAGGTCTCCACCTCCCCTCGTCCTCTACGAACTTGGTGAGCAACGCCGTCCTTCAGGATTCGTGGGTTGATACCTTCACCCCTGGAGGATAGAGTGTGGTGATCTATACGTGCTCTTGGACTGGCAGGCACCTAACCACATTCACCCGTCGGCCTGGGTTGAGTCTGTACACACTGACTTATGCGCCTCCTCAGGTAGCAGCGTTTGCGTCTGCGTCACGTCAGCTTGCAGCCCCTGCTCGTGTTGCGCCCTATCGCACCAGACTCTCCTTTGGCACCACCGCCTTGGTCACCCCTCCGTGGCATGCACTCCCGTCTCCTTCTCTCTGGTCTTCTCAGGCCTCTGCCTCCCCTCCCACCCTTGCCTGCCCTTCCCTGTCTTCCTTGTGTCAAGGGGCGGCAGCGCGCCGCTCCTCACTCCTCCCCACGATTGCTCCCCTGCAGACTCTCCACATGGACGTGTGGGCCCCATGCCACGTCCGTGAATAGGGCGGCGAGCGCTAATTTTTGCTGGTTCTCGACGACTACTCTCGTTACGCCACGGTCTTCCCCTTGCGCAGCAAGGGGGAGGTCCCTGATGTTTTGATCCCTTGGATCCGCACTGATTGTTACCAGCTCCGCTGTTTTGATCCCTTGGATCCCTTCGGTTCGAGGCGGACCTTCCCGTCATGCATCTGCACTCTAACACGGGTGGTCAGTTTTTCTCCGACCTCTTGCGGGACTTTTGTCGTGTGGAGTGCATTCGCCAGACGTACACGGTTCCGGCCTCTCCGCAGCAGAATGGGGTAGCTGACCACCAGATTGGCTTACTCATGGAGGTCGCTCATACCTCCATGACCCATGCGGTTTCTTGTGGCCGTTTGCGGTCCGATACGCTGCACATCAGCTCAACCTCTGACCCCGTGTCTCGCCGAGACTGCGTTGGACGGGAGAGGTTGGCGATGCGTGGGTGTTCCATGTCTGGGGATCTCGTGCCTTTGTCCCTGATACCACCGCGAACAAGCTTTCCTCCCGCGCCATTCCCTGTCTCTTCCTTGGCTTTCCCCCTAACGTGCCCAGTTCGCAGTTTTACCACCCCACCTCGCGCCGTATCCTGCCCTCTCACGACGTCACGTTTGACGAGTCGGTTCCCTTTTACTGTCTCTTCCCCTACCGCACTGCCCCTCTCCCCCTCCCCCCCCCCCCCTCCCCCCCACCGCTCTTCCTCGCACCAGGTCCTCCTCCGGTAGACCCCCTCCCACCTCAGGGTCCTGCTCCCTCAGGTGTGTCTCGTGTAGACCCTGTCGAGCCTGTCGAGGTAGCTGTTGACTCTGGTACTGCTAGGGGTGCTGCATCTGGGGGTGCTAAGCCTGAGCGTGCGGAGCCTAGGGGTGCTGAGAAGGGGGGTGCTGAGCCTGAGCGTGCGGAGCCTGAAGGTGCTAAGCCTAGGGTTGCTGAGTCTAAGGGTGCGGAGCCTGGGGGTGCTGAGTGTGACGTGCAAAACTTGAGGGTGCTGAGCCGGAGTGTGCTGAGCTTGGAGGTAATTTGTCTACTGGAGGTCCTGCGGGTGTCTCGTCACGGCGAGAGCCTCTCTCTCCACCCCAGCTGTGCTGGAGCCTCAGGAGTGGAGCTGCTGGAGATAGAGGCACTGGAGCTGCTGGAGCTGGTGGTGCTGCAGGCGTTGGAGTTGGAGCTACTGGAGGTGCTGGAGCCGCTGGTCCCTGAGGTGCTTTTACTGGGGGTACTAGAGCTGCTAGGGCTGGCGGTGCTGCAGGAGCTGGAGGTGTTGTCGCCACTGGTCCTGAAGGTGCTCGTGCTGCAGGTGCCACAGGAGCTGGAGCTGGAGCTGTTTTGAGGTGCTGGAGCCATTCGTCACAAAGGTGCTCGTACTGGAGGTCATGGAGCTGCTGGAGCTGGAGGTGCTGCTGGAGCCGGAGGTGCTGGAACTAGAGCTGGAGGTGGTGCTGGAGTTGGAGGTGCTGCTGGAGGTACTGGAGCTGCTGGAGGCGGTGGTGCTGCACGCGTTGGAGCTGGAGACCCTAGAGCTGGAGATGCTGGCCCTAGGGGTGCTGGTTCTGTCGGTGCCGGTGCTAGAGGCGCTGTGCGGCCGCGATCGTACTTCGTTCTGCTACTTTAGCAGGTTCTTGGTCTCCCGCCTTCAGCTCGCCTCACTCCTCCTTTCCTATGTCCACCGCCTGACCAGTCCCAGCCATAGTTGCAGCCAGCCTCCCCACTGCTGGCTCCTTCTCCTTGCACTGAGCAGCCCAGAGGTCTTACAGAGCGTCGTGAGCCTGCGTCTTGTCTTGCGTCGCCTGTTCGCGATGTCCCCACTGGTCGTCGTGTTCTGCGTAAGCGTCCTCCTCCTGTCCTTGGCAAGCACCAGATGGCACTCCCTCCTTCCTCTGTTCTACTGCGTGTCCCTCTGCCTTCTCTTTCTGCGTCCTCCCTTGCTGGCGGTATGGACCCGGAGTCTGACTTACTTCGTGCTGCCAGCCCTACTTTCACACGTCTACTAGCCACTGTTGTCACTGACCCTTCGTTTGAGTCCACTGCTGTGTCTGCCCTGTTACCGCATATGCACTTAATGCTTGTGCAATAACAGTAGAATGATGGTATAGTGTGGGCTTCATACTACGACCATAGGATGACTAGATAGGAATAAGGATATAAGTTATAGGTGTAGGATGTAGTGAAGTTACTGTTAGGAGCGGGGGTGTAGAACGGGGGAAACAGGATAAGAGCGGCTGAGATAAAAGGGGGGAAAGACTCCGAAGGGCGAAATGTGAAACCAATCAACCCCAACCCCGAGCCGCACATTTGGAAATATGCAACTAGGGGTGGGGTAAGGTCACTCACCTCCAAATATGAACTGCGTTGGGGTAGGGCGTACAGCCGCCGCGAGGGAGAGCGGCCGCGACGCGAACCATCGCGGGAACGAGGGCGATCCTATGAACGATCGCCACGCCGACCGGCTTTCCGCGCGGATCGGGTCCCCACGGAGAGGGATCGTCGAGGGGAAGGATCAAAAGGCGTGAGAGCGGGTACGGACAGGCAGACCATAGGCACGGATCGAAACGAGTGGCTACGCGAGAGCGCTCGTGGGACTGACGTGGGCGGCGGAAGCCACCGCGACGCAGGGGCGATTCACTCGCCAGAGGATCGCGTGCGGCGCCGCGATGAGCGAGGGCGTTGGCGGGGATTCGAGGGACGGCCCCGGGGATGGGGAGAAGACGGCCGCAGGGACGCTCGCGAAGGGGCCGCGCAGGAGGACGTAGCGCCAGAGGCGACACAGGAGCGGGACGCGGCAGAAGCGGAGGGGGACCAAGGGCTGCCGATCGAGGAGACGGAAGTGGAAGATGCAGATGAAGCGCAGTCAGAGGGGACGGGCGAAGCAGAACCCATGCCGGCGGGAGAAAATGCAGGAATGAGTCAGGTGGTGGGCGGGGAGTTCAGGACCACGCTACAGGGACCGCGCGGTCAAGACAGGAGCTGCAGGGAGGGACACCGCGCGGAGGGCTCCAGGCGGCAGGACCAAGGGACACCGGACGAGGGCGCTCGCTATGCAGATGCGTCCAGACCACGCGGTGAGGGAAGGGCGGAGCGGTCGCGCACGCCGGAAAGGGGTCAGCGCCATGGAGAATGGCGCGTGGGCGAGTTCCGCCCGCATGACCGGCGGCAGGACTAGAGTGGCTGGGGCGGCGGCAGCATGCGCTCACCGGAACGTCGCCAGGCGCGCGGTGACGAACGGAGGGGTGAGCCACGCTCACCCAGGTCCCAGGGGCGCCAGGAAGGGGGTCACATGGCGGAGCGTGGGTCACAGGAGCAGCGCGGCCAGCAGCTGGGGGAGCGCAGCAGCGCAATGCGCTCGCCGGGCCGGCAGAGGCGGAGGGAGAAGCGGGACGACAGCGGGTCCCGCTCGCCTGACTGGCGCCACGCGCGGAAGGAAGAACACGGAGGGGGGAGGCTCTCACCGGAGCGCCGCTAGCAGCACAGCAGGAGGGAGGGCGCCTGGTCGCCGTCGCCAGAAGGGCGGCCGCGGTGCGAGACGAGCACATGGGAGGAGCGTGAGGTGCGTGGGCTGCCGACGCCACAGTGGGGATGGGCGGAAGGGTGGGGAGGATCGAGGGAGAGGCAGTACGAGTCAGGAGGAAGTTGCCAGGAGGGCAAAACGGAGGGCGGAACACTGGTGCAGGGGGCAGAGCGGGCGCGGGAAGCCAGAGAAGGCATGCAAAGGGCGCGGGGGAGGGGAACGGAGAGGAGTCGGCTGGAAAGGCCAATGAATCATGGGGAGAGGGGCGTGGGGGTGGCACCAGCACCCCGCGAGTAGAAGTGTCCGCCGGATTCTCAGGCAACCAACGTGCAGGGCCGACCCTCAAGAACTATCTCATGCAGGTGGGGAATGTGCGGTACCGCTGCGACCGGCACCACATGGACCCAGTGGAGATCTTCTTGAGCTTGCCGAACACACTGGAAGGGGAGGCCGAGACGCTTTACCGCATGAGGATGGAGGAGCTGCTGTGGAGGGCGGGGAGGTACGGCGAGGACCCCACCAAGGCATTCTTGGAGCGGCAATTCCCAGGTCACACGGCAGAGCGCATGAGGGAGTTCCAGGAATTCAACAGAGGCCGGAACGAGTCACTACTGACCTACTATAACCGGCTGATCAATCTGGCGGAGGACGTGAGATGCACGGACAACAGTCTTCTCATCAGCAAGTTCCTGGGGGCTTGGACGAGGCGTTAGGAGGGGGCTTGAGGATGAGAGTGTATGAGCTTGGAGCGGATGCAAGTCTGGAGGAGGTGTTCGCTCTAGCAGAGAGGGTGGAGCTTGCACAAAAGAAGTTTGAGGAGTATCTCCCTAGGCCATCGGAGAGGATCAGGCGGCCAACGTGGGCGGCGGCAATGATACCAGGAGGAGGAGGGAGGACGGAGGGACGGGGGGAGACAGGGACGGACACCAGGACATGCTACAAGTGTGGAAAGCCAGGACATTTGCGCAGGGATTGCAAGAACTGTGAGGAATAGGGAAGCCAGGGCACAGGAAGCGGGAGTGCCCGGAGGCAGCCGGGTGTGAAATCTGCAAAAGGCAGGGACATGAGGCGAAGGATTGCTACCAGAGAAAAGGGGGGAGTAGGAGACAGCCGGAGGAGCTGCAGCGGCAGATTAGTAGGTTGCAGGCACAGCTGAGGGCGACCGGGCTGAAGGGGGAGGTAGAGGCAGGGATGTACGCGGGAGACGGGGGAGGAGAGGAGGTGGAGAAGGATGTGCAGTGTGCTCTCATGGCGTGGAGAGGAAGGGAGGAGATGGGGCTGAGGAGCGGAGGCAAGGATGGCAGGCGGGAGCAGGGAAGGAAAGAACAGGTGAAGGGAGAGAAGCCAGCCGAGCCAGCCCCAGAGCCAGCCCCTACACGCCATCCCCAAGAGAGGCTGGCGTGCCAGACCTCGGTGCTGGTGCTAGAGAAGGGAGCCATGGAAGTGGAGGGAGAGAAGGTCAAGACAGCCATCATAGATACGGGGGCACAGAGCATGATGTTGGGCAAAGGGATAGCTGAGAGGCTGGGATTGCTGGCGCCGGAGAGGCACATGGCTAAGGGGATGCTGGTGATGACAGCAGAAGGAGGGAAGCCGAAGTGGATTCCATGCACACGGACGCCTATAAAGGTGACGTTGATGCCGGGGGGGGGGGGGGGGGAAACGAAACCAAAATCCGCATGAAGTGCGGGATTTTCGAGTCGGAGAACTTTGACTTGCTGGTAGGCACCGAGCTGGTGTATGCGGTAGTGATGACAATATGCACATGGACAGAGAAGGTCGAGTTTAGGACTAGATACTGGAAAAGGGAGGGGCCGCTGGGAGGGCTGCCAGTGCGATTTGTGAAGGTGGAGCCGAAGAGAGCTTATCAGGCCGTGGGGGAACGGCTGCTGGGGGGGCAGGGGGGGATGTCAAGGATGGGAGGAGAGCCCAGAATGAAGGGGATGGACAAGCCACAGCAGAAGAGCGATTGGAAGCAGCCCATACACCTCGTGGAGCTGTTTGGGGGGATAGGGGCAGGGCTGTCCGCGGTGGTGAGGAATGGGATAGCAGTGAAGAGATAGACATATGTGGAGAAGGAACCAGGGGTGAGGAGGATAGTGGAGCACCATGCCAGGCTGTTGCAAGCGGAATTTCCAGAACTACTGAGTGAAGGAGTGATCAGCAAGGCGATGAGGGGGACGATCCACAATGTGAAGGAGATAAGTGAGGCGGAGGTGGCGAGCTGGGGGCAGGTGGATCTGCTGGTGGCAGGGTGGGAATGCCAAGGGGTGTCTTGGGCAGGCAAGAGCAAGGGAGGAGAAGATCACAGGACAGGGTTGCTGGAGGACCTGTTCGGAATCATGGAGTGGCTGCAGGAGAGGCAGGGTAGGGTGGCATACTTGCTGGAAAACCTGGACCTGGAGGGAGATAGCAGAGAGCCAATCCGACTGGTGAGGGATAGAATCAGGGGGCAGCTGGGAGAAGGGGTGAGCTGTGATGCGGCCAGAATGGGGTCTTATGCGCAGAGGCTTAGAATGTATTGGCAGAATGTGGTCCCTGCCGCGCAGCTGCAAGCAACTATAGAGGGGGTGAGGCGAGCAGCAGAGAGGAAGGTATAGGACATCCTGGCACCAGGGCGGACCCCAGCACCGATGAGTCGCAAGAGCTACAATAGGCACGAGCAGTGCAATCAAGTGGGGCAGGAGAGGCGGGCTCTACCCACGCTGGGGGCGTATGTGAGGGCAGCAGGGTACAAGTGGGAAGCAGGGAAGCCTGGGCCGGGGATGGTGTATGACCACAAGAGAGGGAGATGGGAGGAGCCCACGGCACTAGAGCGGGAGCTGGCTATGGGGTACGGAGAAGACGCAACAGCAGCACCTGGGGCAAGTGAAACGGACGGGAGGAGGGCTCTGGGGAATGCATTGGATGGCCACGTGACGAGGTGGCTGATTCAGCAAATGTGGCGGGAGACACTCGTGAGCTGGGGGCAGGAGGAAGGGAAAGGAGGGATGAAGGCGGAGCCACGGGGAGCGTGGAGCTGCCTGGCAAAGGAGGAGGAGAGCAGGGTGGTGGGGGAAGCGATGAGCAAGGGGGGAAGGGAGGCCATGCTGGGGCTGCTGGCAAGGCACCGGAAGTGTTTCGCTTTCACCATGCAGGAACTTGGGAGGTGCAAGGTGAAGGAGATGGAGCTGAAGCTGAGCAGCGCAGAACCAGTGTTCCAGCGCAGGAGGAAGATGCCGCCCGGGGATGAGGAGATCTGCAAGGAGAAGATCAAGGAGCTGCTGGAAGCAGGACTGATTAGGAGATCGGAGTCCGAATATGCCACACCAACTGTGGCGGCAGCCATGCGAGACCTGACAGAGGAGGTTCTGAGCAGGAGGATGTGTGGAGACTACAGGGCACTCAACAAAATCACCGTAGCAGACAGGTACTTGATGCCGATGGCGGAGAAGATCTTTGATAAACTGACAGAGGGGGTGGTCTTCACTACGCTGGACCTGCGGCAGGGGTTCAACCAGATCATGATCAGAGAGGAGGACATTAGGAAGACGGCCTTTCATGGGCCAGACGGGCTGTACGAGTGGTTGTACATACCATTTGGACTGCAGAACGCATCAGCATTGTTCCAGAGGGTCATCGACAGCGTGCTGCGGGGAGTGGAGTGTACAGCCTGCTACATAGACGATGTGGTAATCCTCAGCACCATAGAGCAGCAGCACCTACAGGATGTGGAGAAGACCCTAGCGGCGATTGAAGCAGCAGGACTCACCTGCCACCCGAAGAAGTGCAGATGGGGGGAACAGACAGTGCACTACCTAGGGTATGAGGTGAAAGGGGGGCAGATAGGGATCCAACAGGCCAAGGTGGAAGTGCTGGACAGACTGAGGGAGCCGAAGAATAAGTCAGGGCTGAGAGCAGTGCTGGGCTTCTTGAGCTACTACAAGCGGTTTGTGCCCAACTTCAGCACGAGAGCGGCGGTGTTGAATGGGCTATTGTGAGAGGACAATGCGTGGGAGTGGGGAGAAGCACAGAAGGGGGCACTGCATGACCTGATGGCTGCAGTGAAGACCGCAGCGGTACTCAAGCTGCCCGCCGCTAATCAGCCGTTCACGCTCTACACAGACTGGAGCATCCAAGGGATGGGGGGAATTCTCTGCCAGGAGGTGGAAGGAGAGGAGAATGTAGTGGCATATGCGAGCAGAAGCTGCAACTCGGCAGAGGCACCGTACAGCTCCTACATTAGAGAAGGGTTGGCGGCCGTATGGGCAGTACGACATTTCTGCGTGTACCTGCAGGGGAGGGAATTCACCTTAGTGACAGACCACCAGCCCCTGACGTGGCTGATGACAACCCCGGGACTAACGGGCAGGAATGCAAGATGGGCGATGAAGCTGCAGGAGTATGACTTCAACACTGCAACACGTGGATGGCCTCTCTCGGAACCCGCCGCCGCTCGAGCCCACTGTGACCTTGACAATGCTGGCCATATAAGTGGAGCAGAGCGGGGCCAAGGAGGGGAAGGGGCCAGCAGATATTTGGGAGGACGGACCGGCCATGCGATGGGTGAAGGGAGAGATAGGAGAGGACGAAGCGCTGCTGGCACAAGTGAGGGCAAGGGGCCAGCATTACACGTGGTACCTGTAGCAGTTGCAGGTGCAGAGAGAGGACGGATGGAAGCTGGTGCCGGCCCCAAGTGAGAGAGAAGGAGTGATTAAGGAGGTCCACACCAAGCTAGGGCACTTTGGGCACAAGAGGACTGTGCAGCTGTTGAAGACAGGGTGGTGGTGGGAGGGGATGCGGAGGCAAGTAAAGGGGTAGGTGGAGGGCTGTGAGGCATGCTAAAGGAGCACGGCAAACCTCACCCAAGCCAAGGCGGAGTTGCAATCGCTGCCCATCCGAGGCCTCGACTTCCGATGGTCCTTAGATCTGGCGAGGGAGCTGCCACTGAGCCGTGGGGGGAAGAAGTACATAGTGCTCATGGTCGAACATGTGAGCAATTGGCAGGAGGTGAGAGCGATCCCGAGCAAGTGCTCCAGACACGTG